CCCATTAAACCTTCAGAGTGTAGAATCTGTGTACTTCTTATAAACAGATCACATTACTGATTGACAAGTGTTCCACAGCAGTCAGATCAGCTGGACCTTGCTCCTACATCACGTTAAATCAGAATGATCCAATCAGCCCCATGTGGGTGGAGGATGGTCGGTCATGTGTCTGCTGCAGCTGCTCAGGGTGTGGAGGCTCAGTTCTTTTAGCACCTTTAACATCATCCTTCACTGCTAAGAAACAGGGTGTTGGTGCCTCTCCTGGCAGACCTGCCTCACCTGTGCAGCGTGGGGAACCTGGTCTCCTGGAATGATAATAATGGATGCATCTTCTAGAGACTTGGCAACTTGAAACGTAAAAATAGGACAATTTTGTTGCATTCACTATGCATTTCATATGAACGACAATAAATATAATGTGGAATTATTGATCATCGTTATGCTGGTGATACACATTTACATTTGTCCATGAAACCCAATGAATCCATCCAGTTACTTTCAACTACAAGCATGTCTTAAAGATATAAAAACCTGGATGACCCTAAATTTTCTCCTTTTGAACACAGGCAAAACTGAGGTTTTAGTTTTTGGACCTGAGCATCTTAGGAATTAATTTTTCAGTTTTCTCCCTCCTTAGATGGCATTAATCTGTCCTCCAGCTTTAATGTTAAAAATCTTGGTGTTATTTTTGATCAGGACATGTCTTTTAACCCCCACATTAAAAACGTTACTAGAACTGCCTTCTTCTACCTGCATAATATCACTAAAATTAGAAACATCTTATCTAAAAATGATGCAGAAAAACTGGTTCATGCATTTGTCACGTCTAGACTGGACTAATGCAATGGTTCATTATCTGGGTGTCCAAATACTTCTTTAAAACGTCTTCAGTTGATCCAAAATGCTGCTGCCAGAGTCTTAACTGGAGTTAGTAGGAGACATCATTTTTCTCCAGTTTTAGCTTCTCTCCATTGGCTCCCTGTCAAATCCAGAATAGAATTCAAAATCTTACTTCTAACCTACAAAGCCCTCAGCAACCTAGCTCCATCTTATATTACAGATCTTGTTGTTCAATATTTTCCCAACGGAGCACTTCACTCTCAGACTGGAGGTTTACTTGCGGACCCTAGAGTTTCCAAAAGCAGAATGGGAGGAAGATCTTTCAGTCATCAGGTTCCTCTCTTGTGGAACCAACTTCCAGTTTCTGTCCGTGAGGCTGACACATTGTCCAGTTTTAAGATTAGGATTCACCCCGGTTAATTTTTTTATAACACTACTCTTATTTTAAGGTCGTTTTCACACCAGATAGTCCGGTAGACTCGGTTCGGTTCAGGACCAATATTCATGACCTTTTGTTTACATTTGAGCTGGTGCGTTTGCATTCACACTGCACTGTGCAGTCGAGTCAACCTGTTGAACCAACCTGTTCCCCCGCTCGCCTGTGGGGGCGCTGTACCAAGAACTACTGAAAGAAACGACACAAAAACCTCTGAAGACACGTCGTCTTCTTCTTCTGTAAATAAAAATAAAAACGAAGTGGCATCAAGTTTTAGCAGTTTTAGGAGTTATATTTTGTCATTTTTCAACCATGGACTCAGCATGAGTGGAAGATGAGACAGAAGACCACGGAGAATATTGTTTTTCCACACAAGGCAGCTGACGGCTCCATATAAGGTAAGAGAAATGCGTGTTTGTTTACCCTGCGGAGCGGGGCCCGGTCTGTTTACATTCACACTGTACTCGAACCACGCTGGAGTTCGCTTCTACCGGACCGAGACCTAGGTTTTAGCCCGGGCCAGAGTTCACCTTTTTGTTCCGTGACAGAGTTCGATGGCGCGTTCACACCTCCCTAAAGGAACCGGACTTTCTAGGAAAACGAGCTAGAGTTCGATTAAAGCGAACTAAACAGGGCTGGTGTGAATGCACCCTAAGTGCATTTTTACTATAGTTTAGTGTTATTGTTATCTGTTCTGTCTGGAACAGGTCCCTCAATAAGTCCTCGTGGCTCAATGAGACTGTATAAATAAAGGTTGAATGAATGAATGACAACTTTCCTTTATGATAAATCCTATAGTTAGGGTTGGCTTGTTATGTTGCCATAGGCTTAGACTACTGGAGGACAAATTGAACCCATTTCTTAAAATGAATAGTTACAAACAAATAGTTTTCATTTGAAATTATTTCTGTCTTTACACAGGCAGCTGTGGCTGAGTGGTTAGAGCAGTCCTCCTCCAGTGGAAGAGTTGGGGGTTCGATTCCACCAGCAGTCACATGCTGAAGTGTCCCTGGACAAGACACTGAACCCCTCATTGCCTCCAATGTGTCTCTCATTGGTGTATGAATGTGATAAAGCACTGATTATTCTTTGTATAGATCTAGGGCGGCTGTGGCCGAGTGGTTAGAGCAGTCGTCCTCCAATGCGAGAGTTGGAGGATCGAATCCAACAGCAGTCACATGCCAAAGTGTCCCATGGCAAGACAATGAACCTCTCGTTGCCTCTGATGTGTGTCCCATCAGTGTATGAATGTGATAAAGCACTGATTAGTCTCTTTAGAATGATTTGTTTAATTAGCTTTGTAGAGATCTAGTAGAGTGCTGTATGAATGGGTGAATGAGGACACAGATTGCAGTTTAAAGAGCTTTGAGTATGTTGATAAGATAGAAAGCTTCTATATAACTACAGTTTATTTACCATTAACCATTTAACATGTGATTCTTGACCTGCCATTTTGTATCTGTTCCTCTCAAACCCAGCCGGTCGAAGCAGATGATTGCTTGTCCTGAGCCTGGTTCTGCCAAAGGTTTCTTCCTCATGAGGGAGTTTTTCTTTTCCACTGTCACCTTCGTGCTTGTGTAACCCACATGAAACACTGGGCTACTAAACCCATATCTGTAAATTAGATTATAATACCGTATTTACAGAGTTTAGCTGCGCGTGTTTGTATCGGCAATTTAGAGCTGGGGAGACGTAGCCCGCACCGGCAGCTCAGAGCGGGGTGCGGAGAGAGAGAAAAAAGACAGGTGGCAGCTTAGAGCAGGGAAAGGGAGAGACAGTTGAGTTGTCTGTACCTACAGTTTAGAGCCGGATAGAGAGACAGCTGAGCCGCACGTTGTTTTTACCTTTTTAGCTAGTTAGTATTGCTCACAAATAATTAGCGTCACACCAGTACCGACAGGTAGTGATGGGCAGATGAGGCCTCATTGGGTGTATGGCACATTTTCTAACTGTTTCGACACTGTGTTGCTGTATCACTTCTGCTGGAATTAAAAGGTCATTGCAGGCAAATCCAAAACACGTTCAAGGCAAAAACAACTGGACTTTATTTGTAACAAATAAAGTCCAGTTGTTTTTGCCTTGAATGTTTTTGGATTTACCATGTCCTGGATGACTGAGAATCTTCACCAGCATAGGTCATTGCAGGCAAATTCAATAAAGACTGGAAACAGACTGAACAAGGTTCATTTACACGTTTTTATTTAGAAACTTCAGCTGCTGTAACATCTTTGAGTCGAGGCGATTGCGTTGTTTACAAACCATTTCTCCTGCTTTTGAGAGCACCCTTTCACAGGGCACTGATGATGACGGCATACATAGAATTTCATTGCAAGTTTGTATAGCGTAGGGTAATTTAATATTTGCGTTTTCACCTACAACAGAAATAAAAGTTAGTCCATGTAAACTAATTCAAATATCCTTCAGAAAGAAATTAGAATAACTCGAAAGAAAAAGTATCAATAGTGGAAACAAAAATGGAATAATCATTTACCTTTTTTTCCGTGATAAGATTAAAATGATCTCACACGGGAGAAAAACTTCCTCTTCCTTGGTTGATCCATGGTATTCAATGACAAGACAAAAATCAATGCAAAGCAAAGAACACAAACTATCTCCATCCAACAAAACCCACAAACGTGTCGATACATTTTCTCCCTTATAAATACAATTTGTCGCGTTCACAACCAAACGATACAGTAACTGTATCGGTCACGTGGTTCTCCTTAAAGAGATACGCGCACCGACACGGGGCTTCGCCTTGTTTGCTCGGCGCATGCACCGAGGTTTCGGTGTCGTCAGACCCATCACTACCGACAGATGGAGGGGGGGGTGCACGATTCGGTTTGATCGTTCGGTGCGCTCTGCTCTGTTAAAGGGGCGGGGCACCCTGACATATTACGTCATGAAATTAGCATATCATGATGTCATTTTTTGCACGGGCAAGCTTTTTTTACCGGTATTATTGTGAATGATATGATATGGCCCAGTCCTACCAGAGCCTTAAGGAACGCTGGGCGAATCTCATCCACCCCTGGGGCCCTGCCACCGAGAAGCTTTTAAGCTTTAAAAAAAAAAAAATGGATGGATGGATATGAATATTTCTAAATTTGTAACCACAGTAATATTGTTACACACGGTAGTAGTTGTAAACACTCAAAAGAATAAATATGACTTAGTTCTTACCTTTAATCTAAACATTTAAGGAGTAAATATTTTTAATATATGTTAAAAGTTACAAATGTCTTTGGTGCCTGTTTGTTTTCTAAATATATTAGTGTGTGTGAATGACAGGGATCAACTTAAAACACTGTTATAACATACTTTATGAACTTCAGTTTATTTCCTTGTATTACTTGACCTGCAGCTCTGCCACATCCAATATGGCGGCCGCTCTGACGTACTGCTGCTCGAGGCGTTTACGTATTTATGTCTACGGGACAAACGTCCTCCCTGACACTAAACTAAGCAGGCAAAAACAACCGTTTTTACTAATACCGGTAACAGTTTCTTCATCATCACTACAAAGGACCGCAGTAACAAAGTTTTAATTTTTTTAAATGTCTCCACCTGCTGAAGAGCTCGTTGGTTCAACAGACAGGTGAGGCGCCATGACGACAGGCTCTGGTTAGTTTGGACCCGCAGGTTCTGACACAGATCTTCCCCTTCAGCAGTTTGTCAGGAAGTGTTAGCTCTAACCTCCGCTGTGTGAATCAGATAAACTTACCTGTAAACACAAACGTTTCGCTCTCTCACTTCCGGGTACGGAGACGGACAAGCACACCTGTTCTCATTAGTTCTTCGGACTGGACCGGAAGTTGTTGATTTAGCGCCTCCTTCTGGTCCACCCGTCCTTCTTGTTTAGAAGAAATTATCTTCAGCAAAGAGCAACATGAAGACGCATGGTCAGAAGAAATAAGTGGTTTAAAGGTGATTCACAAACAGGGGCGCCATTAAGGAGGGATGATCCGGGGAAGATGGCCACTTCTTAAAAAAATGTGTGCCCCCCTTTCACTAGCTCTGTTTGATAAGACACTTATCCTCGTGAGTCCCAAGCTGGTGTTTAGTGCACATTTTCTATCGGTTCAACATTCAAATGAACCTCTTAAACACAGAAACATTGTTTTTGAGCATTAAGGAGTTAAACATATAACTATTTATTTTGTTTAAAATTAAATACAAAACCTGAGGGGAAAGAGAAAGAAGTGGTGCAGAGGTTAGAGAAGGTGAGCCTGTGATCGGAAGGTCGCCGGTTCAATTCTCCAAACCGACAACATAAAAATAATGTGGGTAGGAAAGAGAAGCATCCACGCCTGCCTCCACCCTCGCTTGGTCCACCCCAGGCCCTGGCCCTGAGCAAGGCCCCCCACCTCCCCCAGGCACCCTACATGGCAGCTCTCTGTTCCACACAGAGGGCTGTGGTAGCTCAGTGGTCTGTGGTTGAGTCAGGTTTGCTGTGGTGACCCCTGAGGAAGGGAGCAGCCGAAAGAATAAGAACAGTAAAAACAAAACCTAAAACCAAGTTTCCTGAACGATGACAGCAGGACTGAAATCAATGTCCTCAACATCAGGATGCAGGGTCTCACAAGGTTTGATGTTTGAATAAATGTAAATTCATTAAATTAATTTTTGTAGGCTTCTATAAGACGTAACTTTTCTCAGTAACATCAACTGTAAATAAAAAAACTAATGTAGACTTATTTCTATCAGAAGATGGTTCCATATCTCCTGCATTGCTGTATTTGTTAAATAATATGCATATGACAATAAAATAACAAATGGTAAATGGACTGTACTTATATAGTGCCTTTCTATCTTATTTCAAGACACTCAAAGCTCTTTACACTACAATCTGTGTCTCATTTACCTGTTCATACAGCACTCTACTAGATCTCTACAAAGCTAATTGAACAAATCATTCTAATGAGACTAATCAGAACTTTAGATCACATTCATACACTGATGGGACACACATCAGAGGCTACGAGGGATTCAGTGTCTTGCCCAGAGACACTTCAGCATGTGACTGCTGGTGGATTCGAACCCCCAACTCTCGCATTGGAGGACGACTGCTCTAACCACTCAGACACAGCCACCCTGACCAGTTGGTCAAAGCAGATGGCCACTTGTCCTGAGACTGGTTCTGCTGGACGTTTCTTCCTTTTAAAAAGGGAGTTTTTCTTTCCACTGTTGCCACTGTGCTTGCTCAGGATGGGAGACTGCAACAAAGCCAAGATTCAACTTGTCTGCTGGATTCCTTAGACAGAGAACTTTACTCATTGGCTTTTATGTATGTGAATGTTTCTGTAAAGTGCCCTGAGACAACTTTGTTGTGATTTGGCGCTATATAAATAAACTGAATTGAATTGAATTGATCAATCTGATCAAATCCTGTTCTGGCTTTTTTTTTTGGTGTCACCCCAGGATTTCCATTGGCCCCCACAATAAAAACATTTCTGGAAGTTCCAGTGTTGAGAGCGATGTTGAGTCTGGTCATGTTGGAGCTTCATTCTCCATCCCAGAGGTTGAATAATCTGTGAAAACACAGATTACTCTGCAGAAATGACTGCAGAAATTCAGGATAAATGCACAGCTTGTTAAAATCAGCTTCAGTCCTCACAAGTCTTCCAAACTGCAGCTGATACTGCTCAACAAATATAAACTAACTTAACAAATACAGTTTGAGGCTCTTCAGCTGCTCTCTCACCTGCTGGTCCAGTTCTTCTGGGTACCGTCTCATGGGGTCGCTGAACAGATTCACCAGAAAAACAAGATAAACTTTAACATAGTCAATATAGACAAGAATGATGTATCAATTATGTCTAGAGTTTTTATCAGAATCAGAATAAGCTTTATTTGTAAGAGTACCACTGCCTGCAGCTCCTCCTCCAAGATGGCCGCTAA